GGAGGAGGAGGGGCGATGCCAAGCAAGTACGGACAGATTGGGGTTTTGTAGTTTCTTGACCTGGCTTCACTTCACACAGCAGAGCCTGACTGAGGGTGCCCTGAGTTAATGCAGTTAAGGTGGTGAACTTGAAATCAGGACATGCAGGATAGGCACCGTTGCGGTTACTAGGTTTGTATGGCTTTGTGGCAGCGTACATGGGCTAATATAATGCTTAGGAGTGCGTATTGGGGTCCTGGGAGTAGGAGTTTGGGGGGTAGGTGTGTTTGACTTCTGCTACATGTTGGTAAAACCGGTTCTGGAACACCACAGTGCTTGGGTGGGCTTTGACTGCAGATTTCAGTCCTCAGAATTTCAGTGTCTGTCTGTTGGGCTTTAGGTGCTTACTTTGCTGTAGTCAGAGGGCATCTTGCTGATACAGTTAGTGGGCTCTGGAGAAATACTCAACCATAGGGTCACTAGGTATCCACGTAAAGGTTAGATGAATCACTTTCTAAACTTCCAAACCAGGACAGGAGTTTCACTGTGTAGGTCACATGTATACTCCTACATTCAGGTTTCCAAGTCTCAAATCCTATCTTTTGGGGCTCCGCTCAATCATTAGAGATCCTACCAGGTCACCTGCTTCATGTCCAGAATGGTGTGGTTCCTATGGTAGTAGGTCGTGTATCCTAGCTGTAAAACCCATGCAGATGACTTGGCATCACAAATCACACTAGGAACTTACACAGGCACACAGCTGCACGCTGCCCCTTGTGTGCATGTTTTAGAAGAGATCCATTTGAAAACCAAACAAAAGCACAAAACTCATTTTTAAATTATGGAAGAAAGTGGAAGACCTCAAAGATCTGATGCTGTTGAGCTTATTAGAGACAAGACGGAGAGGTGATTTTTAGGTACTTTCTGGAGAAGATAAAGGGCTCTAAGCAGCCGTGGAAACAAAGTGCCAGCAGACCTGAGAGGTTCAAAATGGGTTTCTACATGAAGGCCAGGTGCCTTTTTCAAAGAAGTACTTAAGCCAAACATGAAATGCCGAGCTCGGGGTATAACTGATGTGGAAGGGCAGTGATCTGTGTCATGGAAGGGTAGGCATTCTTATGAGACATCTTGGAACTCTAAATTTTGCTTTTGCATTTTTGTGCTGTCAACTTTATTAAATTACTTCAAACAACTTACATTTTGTTGTAAGATTTCTAATGTTACATAAATTGTATAGTTTCTGCAACAAAGGGAAAGGCTTATAGCTTGTGATATGTGTATGGCTTGTAATTCCCATGTTTTTCCAGATTTTTTTTGTTTTTTTTTCTTATTGTTTCTTTACCTCACATGAAATGCTTTTGTTGTGTGGTCGTGGTACAGAAATACCTTGTCTTTCCTAGATCAAGACCTGTTTGAGATAGAAACTTCAGGATACCACTCTCAGCACCTGTAAGTCTTAAGAATATGTAGGTCATCAGAAGATGAAGGGAAAGCGTACGTTTCGCAAGTGAATGTGCTGATCAGGGCATTCAGTTCCCCAGAGGGTTATAGGAGGGCATGCTTGCTCTGGTGAGACAGTAAGGCAGGAGATTTCCTGAGGGAAAAATAAACCGCGGTGAATGGAGTGACTGACCAAAGCATGAGGGAAAGCTCTCAGGACTTGTGCAAGCAAGAGGATGACTCCCAACAGAAACAGCACGTGCTTTTTTGTATTCCGGGGATAGAGTGTGTGCAGACTGTGAGTGGGAGGTTCTTCTTCCTCCGGGGAGACTGAAGCAGATTTGAAGGTGGACATTGGACAATATGGTTCCATTTGGAAGCAAATGAGATTTCTCTGTCCAGGTCTTTTCAGACTCAGTAACCTGTGCATCTGTTGTCTTTTGTGTGAGTTGGTCTTGTTTCCAATACTGTGCACATAGGTATAAAATGTAATTAATCAGATCCTATTTTTTTTTAATTTGGCTGTTGTTTTCTGCACGGTCATTACAGAAGATGTTTAAATGCTAAAGTTAAGAAATATGGTAAAAGGTGCCTATTTTGTAGGCCATACTTCTTTGTGTATTCTTTACAATTTTGAGTTGGAAGCTGATTCTGCTAGACCAGGTATAGATATCCAGTCCTGAGCATTTCTTGCTGTGCAGACTGAGTGCCTAGCTCGCTGGTTGTCTCCAGAGAGGAGAGCAGTCAGACTGCTCGTGCTATCGTTACTGTCAGCCTGCTGACAATCTTGGGTCCTCCTGCTTGCACTACTGGAAGCTGGGGGAGTCTCCAGCTGAAGAAGTTAGTTTTCTCTTTGTGAAACTCGGAAACTAAAACCTTTGCCTTACCTCATGCCGTAACTACATGATTACAGTCTGCAAATGGTTGTGTCTGGCTTTCAGACTACTTCATTAAGAGTTAATTTATATGCAAGTTTGGTTTTCAAAAAAAACAACACACATGACTGATCCACCCTATCATAAATTTTTATAATGATAAGGTGGTGCAGGCTCATCTGAAATTCCTTCCAAAGGCGGTGTCAGATTTTTACTTTAGTCATCCTAACCATCTTTTCCTTCCCTGTATTTTCACCATAGCAAGGCTTTGTTTACGTGAGCTGGATCCTAATAGTTCTACTCCCACTCCCACCCCCACCGGCACTTTGCAACATAATACAGATTATCATCACTAAAAGTTCGATTTGGCTTTTTTATTTTTTTATTAAGAAATATTTTCTTTTCCTCAGAATTCTTTTCCTTGAAGCAACTTTCCTCAGCACTTCCACTTTGGGTTTGCAGCTGGTGGTATGAGGAGGCAGAAGCACTTCAGAGACTGCTTTTTTGTGACTGTCTAGGAGGTGGCGGAGGGAGAAGGGGGAGGCAGCAGGCGTATAAAGCAGATTTGGGAGCGCGTTGTCAGAAGCAAGGAACAGACTTCGATCTCTGCTGTTGAGGATGGAGGTGCAGGAGCTTTTGGACATCGGCTAGCATGTGGATGGCTGACAGGCTTGGCAGGCGCAACGAGCAGTACTGGGGAAAACAGTCATCTAGACAGGGGCAAGTTTGGAGGAGGTCAGGAATCTTTATTTCCCTTCTTCTCATCCCACAATAAGAATGAAATACAGGGTTTTAAATGCCGGAAAAGTAGAAGGTGGAGAAGGGCTGATGGCAATGCTGCTTTGTTTTGCTTTGTGCTGACATAACGGTGTGTATAATTGATCCAAGTGAAGTGCTGTGCTCTCTCACTGCCATCTTTACCTCCTCATGATGAAATCTAGGTAAATTGTTTGCTATCTGCTGTATGTATCTAGAAGGTCAAACGACTTGATGCCGTCAACACCTAAACCCACCGATGAGCAGTGTGGTGGTAATGCAGCTTCCTTCAGAGCTCATACCCCATACCTACCCTATACCTATTTTCCTTAACAGATTTATGAGATCCTATAATGTGCTTTCAGGATCTGTAAGAGGCTGTTATGCTGATAAATCTTCTATCGTGAGCTAAGATCTTGCTTAGAGACGAGGACTGAATTGTGCTGACTCACGTAGTCGTAATGCGTAAGGTGTTAGAGTTTGCTCTTTGGTCAGGTGAAATTAGGATAAAGTCAGAGAAGCCTCAAGAAAAAACAGATGTAGGGGAAATGGTTGCGCTCGGTTTTGGCTTTAGAGCATGCGTGTGCGGACTACCAGAAGTGCAACAGAAAATGCAGTGTGTCATAGGCACTGCCATTGAAAGTCTTTGAAAATGCAGGTAGCTCTCTGGTATCTGACCTTAGCTGACATGTTGTTTAACTTTTCCAACTCAGTGCACAGATAAAGGGACTGAAGCCTTTTTGCTGTCAGACACACATTCTCAGGACTCAGTGGTCACTAATGCATTTTTGGCGTCCAAAAATCAGGCAGCCACAAAGTTCAGCTGAAATCTACTTCTGTGTCATATGTGTTGATGAAGAGGGTGGCTTCTCTACGGTCCATAAAATTGAGACCTTTTAGAAAATATTGTCATTTCTAAGGAATTTGTTAATGAAAATAATACGGGAGCTTAGTGCTGGGCTAGAATTTCAGTTGTCTGGTTGTTGTACAGAGCTGGTTTCTTTTCATGTGGGGTTTTTTCTTCCCCCTTTTTAAGGAGCAAATGGGCACTCTCTGATTTCAGTATGCCAGGACTCCTGACATACATACATACACAGCTGGTGTTCTGAAAGAAATTTGTGTGCAGATAATGCTTTTCGTAGTGTGTTCAAACTGAAAGTTTGATGTGAAGGATGTGAACTGGTCTGCAGGAAAAGTGAAATTCAATTCAGACAGTTTGGCCGGGATCCACAAGGCTTCATTCCACATTATATTTAGTTTTCTAAGAGTAAGTTTACGTTTAGCCCAGTGTTCATCTTGTACTCTGGTAAAACTAGCCTCGTATGATGCTTCTTGCAGTGTTTAACATTTTCTTCTTATTTTGTAACATTTCCCAATGCAATTCTTTGGGAAGAGAAAGCTTGCTTTCTCTGATACCGGATTTTCCTTCTAAATGGGACAAAGTTGTTTTTAGGAAAAAGTTACAAGCCTGTGTTGAAAGTCACTCTTCCCGCTGTTAGGTCTTTCAACTGAAAGTCAGTCTTCCAACAGTTTCTGTTTACCTGCAGTAAGAAAACATATCCTTGATTCACCATGTAGCTTGAGTCTACATTAAAGTTTAGTTGTCTGTGTCATTAATCATCTGTTACTTTGTTACAGCAGTCACAAAATAAGTCCAGAAAGAAAGACACTACTGTTCAGTCAATCGGTTTTGTAAAGACATTTCTTAAAGAAGAAAAAATGCAGAAGAAAAACATAAAGTGCACCATTAACCAAATCAAGTATTACTGTAATTTCTTCAAGTTGCTCAAAAATAGATGTCGCTCATATGTTATAAATTGCATCTGCTTTTAAATTTGGTAGTTCTGTTTAAATATTTAAGCATTTCAATAGTGTTAAACAGTTTTATACTTCTGCTAAATTAAATTCTTCTGGCAAAGAGTTTTTTATTTTGTTTCTATTGTGTTGCAGACTCTCCTACAGATTTTTGGTGTGGTGGCTGTGGCTGTGGCAGTGATTCCTTGGATACTCATCCCCTTAATTCCACTATTTATTCTTTTCATTTTTCTTCGACGGTATTTCTTAGACACTTCAAGAGATATTAAACGTCTAGAATCCACAAGTATGTAGTTGGCAGGACTTAATGTTAGTTTGAACCCTGCCTATTATTATGTGAAATGTTCATATTTTATAGACAATCCATCAAAGATTTTTTTCTTTTGCTATGCAAATAACTTCCTTATTGCCTCGGTTCTCAACTAGTGAATTACATGCTTAACTGCTGTTTTGCATAATGGTAAACCTTAGGTATACAAGTACTATCTGTAAGTAAATCTAGTTAAGAACATGCTAAGTTGCTGGTCTTTGGGACCCTGCGTGCACATACTAGTGGTGTTTCTGACCTAATCTGACTCCTGTGCCTGACTTTAGCTTGACTATGATATGAAATATTAAGCATTATAAATAACAAACTTGGGTGCCTGATGTCATTAATAAAGCTCAAAGAATTTCTTCAGTGACAGCTATTGTTAAAAACTTATAACATTTTTGTATAAATTAATCTGCTTGGCTGTCTGACTGCTTCTAATTGAGTAAGAAGACTTTGTTTAAAAGATATCCATATTTATTCTAAAAGGATGCAATACAGTAACTTTTATGGTTAAATATAAAGTAGTAGGATTAAAGATTAGTGTGGTACAAAAAGAATTAAATGTTGTCCTTCAGCTGTTGCTAAGTTATTCTGATTTCCCTTTGTAGCTCGAAGTCCAGTGTTCTCCCACTTGTCATCATCCCTCCAGGGACTTTGGACTATTCGGGCTTTGAAAGCAGAGGAAAGATTTCAAAAATTATTTGATGCACACCAAGACCTCCACTCAGGTTTGTAATGAATTGACATGAAAAATCAAATACTTTGCTCTGTAGGAGGGAAATATCTTATGCCCTCAGCCACATATATATAATGTACAGTTAAATCAGTAGGAGCTGTGCATTTGTCTCTTTAGGGTAAAATTTCTCTCTTAGAACAAAAAAGTTATTGTCTGTCTAGATTTGGAGAGTTTACTTAGGGCTGTAATATAGTTTCAGATACCACGCGTATGTTAACAATGTCTAGGATAAACATTTTAAAGTATGCCTGATAAGAATATTTAAATAATCATTTTTTACATTTTCCTGGATTCCATCTTTAAAAAGAGAGAGAGAAGAGGAAACAAGCTATATTACAAAGCATTTAATATTAAGCGGTGTGGTAGGAGTGAGCAGAGATGATTAATATAAATCATCTTAGAAAAGTTTCATAAACCTCGCCTTTTTTTTTTACTTTGAGCAGCTTTCAGGGCTCAAATCTAGTGTGCGGTATTAACATGACCGGAAGGTGTAAAACACTAGTATTCTGCAATCATAAGTAGTATAATTTTGATTTGCGCTGTGTTTCTTTACCTTCTGTCAATGAAATGTTCTCTGTTACAGTGTTTTTCAAGATACAGCAAAATGCAAGTTTGCAATTCTGTGTTTGTTAGGGAAGATCTTGAATTTCCTCTGTCGTAAGACATGCAAGTATATTCTATGGCTTTTTTGTAATGTATAGACTTCTGAGGTTTCAGACCAGACCAGCTGATCTTTTCTGAAGTACGGTTTGCCACAGGCTGTAGAATTGTGCACACTGACCTCCATGTTGAGCCCAGTAACCTGTGTCAACGGAAACATATCTTCCAGGGAGGCACCTCTAGCTTTGAATTCCCCATTTCTTAACATTTTCAAGTCGCTACGTATCTGGCCAAATCAATTTGACAGTAGCTGATAGCGAGGGAACATGAAGTTGTTTTTAAACTTTGTATTAAAAGACACCTTTAGCGGATTAACTGCATATAAAAGTTTCACTATAAAAGAGGACCATGACCTTGAAGTAAATATTTTCCTGTATTTTATGATTATATCTAAGGAACATAAAGAATTATTTTCCAGTCACAGTTATGCATCTCTCTAACAAAACTGTCAATAACACCCCTCCTGGGCAGTTCAGGAACCTGCTTTCGAGATAAATCCTCAGTGCTTAAAGTCGCACTCTTTTCTGTACCTACGTGCTTATCTTGGTGTCTTTCCCACCACAGTATTTGGGGTATACCAGCGTGCTTAGTGTGTGTGTGGGTTTCGGTCCTCAGAGGGAATATGAGCCAACAGTGTGCCTAAGCAGCAAAGAAGGCCAACAACATCTGGGCTGTATTAGTAGGAGCACAGCCAGTGGAAGGAGGGAAGTGATTATCCCCCTCAGCACTTGTTAGCCTGTGTCTGGAATACTACATTTGGTTTTGGACCCCCAGATGGAGGAGATGCTCTGAGAAACTCTGAGATGCTCTGAGTGAGTTCAGTGGAGTAGCCACTAACATGGTCAGGGGACTAAGAAGAGAGGTCTCGCTATGAGGAGAGAGTGGGGAAACTGGGTTTGTTCAACTTGCAGAAGAGAAGGCTTGAAGAGGACTTAATAGCTGCCCTCCAGTACCTGCAAGGATCTTACCACAAAGATAGCCAAGTTCTTGACAGTGCTACATGGCGGGAGGAGCAAGAAAATGCGTATAAGCTGAAACAAGATTGGTTTAGCCTGGATAGAAGCAAAAGTTTTTCACCTCATGAATGGTCAAGCAGAGGAACAGGTTGCCCAGAGCTGTTGTGCAGGCTCTGTCCCTGGAGATTTTCAAGACTCAATTGCATAAAGCATTGAGCAACATGATCTGAGCTCAGAGCTGACCCTGCTTTGAGAAGGAGGTTGAATTACAGACCTGCTGAGGTTGCTTCCACCCTGAAGGTTCTTTGATACTACGTGTGTGCAAACAATAGCTGATAGAAGAGGTTGCCTTGCATAATAGCTCACGAAGTTGGAGTCCCGGTTTCTGAAGTCCCCCAAAGAGTTTTAAATTCTTTCCTGCATCGCAGAAGGCTCTCCCAGCGAGCGGTGGTTTTGTTTAGTGCTTTTGGCTGAAGTGGTATCCTCCTCTCCATTTAGGGTGAGCCTGGGAAACAGAACACTTGCTTCAAACCCTCTTTCAGGGGTACCTGTGAATTTGATATTAAATAATCTTTAGATCAGGTTTGACCAAGCCTAGGCTTCCTTCCTGCCAGTGCGACATCTCTATAAGCAAGCTCAGGAGTCATCAGAAGTTACATCATGATGTGTCTTTGTTAGTCCCCCCGAATGCAGTATTCCTGCATGCGCAGTGGCCCCAATCACGTAGGGGGGTTGCAGAATGACCTGTCTCCAGCTGGCCATTCAGTGCACCTTCCTGGACAACAGAATTAATGGAGAAAAACCATGGAGCTGAAAAATCTACAACCCAAGCATCCCATTTCCTGGTCTTACAACTACACTATTGCACCAAAAATGACTTTCCATGTCACCAGGAAGCTGTCGTAGGCTCTGTTTCCTGGGTCACTCAGCTTCTGGGTTTCAGAGAGGTACCTAAATTATCATGGTGAATTCTATTTCTGGAACTAGTTTGATGACTTGATGTGGCACTTTCTTCCGGATATGTCACTCCATGTGCTTAGGTGTATGACTGTCCATTAGACCACATCAGATGTCTTTTGCTTAATGAAACCGTTGGTTAGGCTTGTGCAATTAGAGTTACATAAATGCGACTGAGAGATTACCAGCTCTGGACCTTACTTGGCTGTCTTTTGTCGTCCTCACTCTTTTCCTCCGCTGCCCTCCTGAAGTTACTGCTATCCTGCACTTCTGTTGGCTGAATTACTGATTTGATCGCTCCATAGTCTGGCAATCCAAAATGATCTGGGTTACAACCAGACTTACCTCCTTTTTTTAATAAAAGGGAGGGGTTTTTCAGTTTGCCTCTTTCCCACCGCTGGACTACAGCTGAAGCAGCGCTAATCTTTAGCATGGAGCACTGACAAGAAGTGCAGAAAGGGTTGGGGTGGTAGCCTTCTGCTGTGTCTTGGTAGCAGCTGGAACAATTCATCTGACTGCAGCCTAAGCAATAAATAATGCCATACTTTGTTATGGCTACTTGACTTCTGGTTTTGGCCCTGCATTCAAACACTTTGCCTTCTGTATTGCAGTGTCTCTTCCTGCTGTCTCCTGTATTTTGTACCATAGCCTGTCTATCTGGGATGGAATTTAGCACCAAATTGTGGACACCTGGGTGTGAGTGCCCAGTGGAGATGTCCACCTGTGAGCTTCCCCGAAAGTGGATATGTGCATTTAGTCAATTGAATAGCTCTGTAGCTCCACTGGCTGTGCTGAGTAGCTCTTATGAGAGCTTAACCAGCTGTAGCTGCCTCCTGAAGTCTTGGCTCCCACAGTTATGTTGTGGTATGTTCTAGCTAAAAGCCTGCAGACTGCAGTCCAGCTACAGCAAATGTAGTTGTACTTCTGCTTTTTGTGTAAGACTTCCAAGTTCACTAGAGTGAAAAAAAAGCTTCCATTTTAAATAAATGGACCATGCTTCAGGCCTTGACTGCTTTTCTTTTTCTTCGTATTACTGTATGTTATACTAGGTGTGGTTGTTATTAGTGTGAAAACTAGGTTAGACCATTTCAGAAAACTGGACAATATTCTGATCATCATCAGTCCATACAGACATGCACTTGGACATGGCAATGATTTATTTTTAACAACTTAGAATATTAACATGGATTAATTTAATAATAATAATTATACAGCTTCGTTTTCTAATAATCCACTGTTCTTATGTCTTTGTAAAATACACTTTAGAGGCCTGGTTTCTATTTTTGACGACCTCGAGGTGGTTTGCTGTGCGTCTGGATGCCATCTGTGCTGTTTTTGTTATAGTGGTTGCTTTTGGTTCCCTGATTCTCGCCAAGAGTAAGTACAGATGTTAGAAAAAGTTCACCCAGTAATTACCATGTATAGTAGTGCCTAATTCTTTTTCATGGTTTGCTGTTTCTAATTGTTTAAGGACTGTAATTAAAGTTAAATGTTTCTGTCTAGATCATGATCTCTTCCTCAGTGTAGGGCATTGGGGCTGTATCTGCTTTCCTGCAAATACTGGAGGCAGTTCAGACATCTTCTGGGCTTAGGCATGTATCTACCATCATCCCCAAATGCACAGACAAACTTGCAGATGTGTAGTCTTCACTTTTGAGATTCTGGCTTTCAGACTAATAATAGCAAATAAATCTTTCTTTCCCCACCTTTGCCTTTCTTTTTTGGTCCTACAGGGCTTTGCTTTTCATACTGAAACACGCACAGATCTGCTTCTTAACAACTTTTTTCTTTCTACACATGGCACAGTAGGCCAAAAGGCAAGCTAAAATTCCTAGGATTAGTCTTCTGATATTTTGGATCAGCAGGATAGGCCAGTTCCAGAAAGAAAATCGCCTTGTAATAATACATTTTATGTTCACTGTCACTCATGAACTGTCATTAGTGTATACATCATCCAGGATGTAATTGGGTTAGACGTACTAGAATGAGATAGTCATCTAAAATCTGAAGTAAGATGTAATTATCTTGGACATGAAAATTAGTGCTAATTTGCTGGTTTTGTTTCTTTTCTTTTTCCTTTGGATAAGTTCTGTATATGCGTGTGTGTTTTAAAATTTGAACACTCTATGCTACTCAACACTGAAAATTTTGAGCTGGGTTTGGTGTTATTAGAATGCAAAAAGACAAGTTAAAACAATGGTCCTGAATCTTTCCTTGCCTCTGGATAAGGAGTAGCTCTCTTGAAGTCAATAGAGCTATGCTAGGATAAAGTTCAAGCAAGTCAGAGGACAATCATGCTTGATATTGAGGTAGACAGAATTAATTTATTTTGTGAGAGTAGATCCACCAAACACAATAAATGCTTATATAAACAGGGGAAGAAATACTCTGTCCTGTTATTTTGTCTGATCACATACAAAAGTACAAAGTTGATGTAAGTATTCATAACTTATTTCTAAATCGTTTTATGCTCATTTTTTGCTTAGGTTTAGGGGCTGCTCTGATTCCCTTAGAAAAAAAGTGAAAAGTTACTAATGCTCAACCACATAGGGATGATCCTGACAAGCTGTGTAAGTATGGTCTTGAGACAGAACCTCAGTTTTCAGATGAAATGCCAGGCCAAGAAGAATTAGGGTTATCTTTTCAAATACACTGACAGTTTCCAAAATGTACCCAAAAAAAAAAAAAAGTGCAGCAAGTAGCTGTTCTGCCTGGAGCTACTCATTGCACAGATGGCAAGTACAGTGTAACCAAACAAAATTCTGGCTGTGATGCTTCCATCCTGTAAGTAACCTCATGAAAGTGAAGTTAACGAGGATTTTGTGTAATTACCAGTGTACCTGTTTGATTCTCTTTCTTCTTTGTTCTGCAGCTTTGGATGCGGGGCAGGTTGGTTTGGCGCTATCCTATGCAATCACCCTCATGGGAATGTTCCAGTGGGGTGTCAGACAAAGTGCTGAAGTTGAAAACCTGGTAACGTTTATTTCTTCCTTTTCGCCTCTTGGTTTCTCTTCATGGTTGTGACATGAGGCCTTAAGGATGGAGTTCTTCTTAATTAACTTTGGGCATTAATACCTTAGGAAGTGATTGAGGCACTACTTACAGTCCATAAAGAAAAACACCCTCTTCTAGGATGTAATTTGTCTGACGGATTTTGAATATCTGTTGAGATGGATTGTGTCCAGTGACTGTCCCTCTCCATTCGTAGTGAGGAAGGCTTTATAATCTCCCTTTACAGCAGAAGGGAGACTGTCTAGTTGCAGTGTAGACAACTGCATTGCAACATGCTGAAATTAAAATAAATGAATCCCCCTCTGTAAGAACAACATTTTTAAGAAGTTTGTTTTTAGATTTGGGATTTTTAATTTACTGTTGTTTATTATTGCATTTTAAAATTTGATGTATATCTGTCATAGCATTTTTAGGGTCCTGTTAATTCATTGTAAAGGCTTATATCTTCTTAATTTGTTGTAAGTTAACAAATATTTAGAAGTATTTGTTTATGTTCAGCTGAGAGGATTGTGCTTTTTCCAAAATACGTAAAGTAAAATGCCTTCCACCAATTTACGGTATTTAGTAGCGTGTTCTAGTTTGCCTGTTTACTTTCTTAAGTTAATATGTAAAAAAAGACTATAAAAAGAACGTACTGAGCATAAACCTGGGTGGCTTTGTGTGTGTTGACAAGTGAAGGTTACTTGTAATTACGATTTGCTGACCATAGTCTAGGTAATACATGTAGTCCTTTTGTAGAAGTTACAAAGCCATGTTTAATAACAGGTAAAATTAATAATAATGTTAGATTTGTATTTTTTTGTCTAACACATTGCTTCTTCAGAACATTTTTCAGACATGAATAAATTAGTGACAGGCTTAGGTGAGAAATAGGAAGAAAGCTTTCAGGGTTTTTTTATCACTTGGGAAGTTTTGGAAGTGTCAATCTGTGGGACTCTCTTATGTAGTGAATTACTCTCTTGGAGGCTGTGATTCAGAAATTCTTTGGAGAAGAAAGGCTTGCTGTTCACTAAACTGGCTTTGTGAAATGCTGATCATTTTATGGAGCTATGATTAGCATCAGCTTATTTGGCAGGTGGGCATCCACCAAAAATCCCTTGTTATTAAAGGCTGACTGCGTTTGGCGGAGGCAAGAACATTTCCTCTCTATTCTGCTCCGTCATTACTTCCTTATATGCTCTTCCTTGGAGCTTATTTTGTAATGTGGAAAGGGTAGATGACAATGAGGTGAGAGAACTTGCTGCCTGGTGACCTCTGCCCTTAAAGCCACTCCAGGCAAGATAAGCCTAGTGCATATCTTTATGGTGGGTTTTTTTTCAGAATCCATCTGTGCGTGGGTACTATTAAGTACACTTAATTGTATTGAGAAGATGTATGGATGAGGACGCATGCCAGAGCCTAAAAAGAGCTTTTATTGTTTGCCCAAGGGGAAAAAAGTGTCTAGATAGCTCAACTTCTGTTTCTCTTCCTTCTTACAAGATTAGAGGCATCAGCAAATATCGCAGTTTCTTCCGTATCTGGCATAAAACACATAGGAAAACAAGTTTTATTGCACGTAAATCACTAATAAAAGGTGACAGCTGTCTTGGATTGTGGAGTTGCTTGTGACAAACATATATAAAAGATTTGCTGGGAGTGAGTGCATTGGTAATGATGAGGACAGAAAAATGGATGATGAAGCCAGTAACTTGATGCCAGTAGCTATCGTGCATCCACCTGTAGCTGGTATGGCAGTTCCATTTCTAGTTTTGTCTTCTCAACACACAATGAAATGGTGTCATCTTAGCCAGGACTGACAGACAGTGTTCATAACTTAAATTTCTTACCACTTATGCACGTACTTAGATTTGTAGTTAATCCCACTGATTAGATATGAATGTTTATGTGTGGATTTATGTATCATGATAGATTTGGGTCTGTGGTAGGACATGAGATGCGTTCTTTCCACTTTTTCAGTTATATAAAGTAAACATAGGATGGTACCAAATACTCTTATCTGTGCTTAAAAGAAAAACTCTGGAACAATTTGATTTGAATCCTTATAGTAAAAACACACACGCACACATACATATGCACACAATATATTGAAAAAGCTGAAATATGTGTATATATGTCTTCTTTCCTCCTCTTAGATGATATCAGTAGAAAGAGTAATGGAATACACAGACCTTGAAAAAGAAGCTCCTTGGGAGACCAACAAGCATCCACCACCTGAATGGCCGAGCCAAGGAATGATAACATTTGAAAATGTTAACTTCACTTACAGTCTAGATGGACCTTTGGTGTTAAGACATTTGTCTGTTTTAATTAAACCAAAAGAAAAGGTATGTATATGGCTGTCTTTGGCCATTCATAGAAATTAAGCAAAGATGATAAGTTGACAAGGAGCTGTATGATAAAAATACATTCTAAATATATGGATATTAGGAAATTAGTGATGTTCTTTTTAAAAATAACCCTTAGTCATATTTAATAACAAAAGCCTGAGCCTATTTATTTCCTGAAAGTGTCGCATAAATGCATCTGGGAACATGACGTATCTGTCTGTCAAAACAAAGGGTTAAACATATTTGATAATCTGATAAAATTTGGGTTGCATCAGAAAGTGGCAAACATTCAAAACACTGACTAAGCCCAAAACATTTGTTGAAATCCGAAGCAAGTGGAGCTGCATTAGGAAATTTGGGATTCAGTAGAGGGAACCTCAATGGAGCGAAGGATGTCAACAGACAAGGTGAGCAGAGACAACTGAAAATGAGGGATGTACACTCCCTTGCACAGAGCCCCGAATGGAAGAGAGAAGAAAGAAATACAAATCAGTTGCATAACTTTAGAAGTTGGGATTTTATTTCAGTTCCTTTCGGCTACCAATCCAATTAACTGTTGCCATTAATTAGATTGGTAGCCAAAAGAAACGTAGAAATAAAACACTTTCTCCTCTGTAAATTTGACTCTTCTTCCCCAATTTTGATGCTATCCCAATTGAAAGAGTGCTGCAGGGAAGGTCTCCCCCACAGACAAAATTAAATTAGAGCCCTGCAGTGTTAATTCGTGCTTTGCTACATTTCAAATGCACATGTACTTTTTTGATTAGGATGTCTTCCCTAGGAGGCTGGTTCAGCTCCCTACAATCATTGCCTTGGCCTCATTTGTAACATGCTTTTCCATTCAGTCCCAGACCTTTTTCGTTCCTCAAGTAGACCTTTTTAATAACATGCATGTTACAAGAATTCAACCCAACTTCGCTGTATGGAGATAATCTCATGGAATTAGGTATGGGTGAGTTAAAAATGGTGTTTAAGAAGAGCAAAGGGGATGTTTATCTACTCTTGCCTATGGGCCGTCTCTCTAGCTGTTACGTATCACTCCAGTGTAATAGCAGACAAGAAGATTTACGTTTCTTAGTGAGAGACAGAAATAAAATAAAATAAAAAAACAGAAGCAAGAGATGTTAGCAATGTATGACTCAGTCCTTGGTGGGGGCAGGAGGGGGAGTGCTGACTGGTGGTATTTATTTTTGCTGAGTGGTTATGCTGTGGTTTTGTCATCCTAAAGTGAATTTGCCTAGCTTGAAACTATTGCCAAGAACTTTGTGTTTTTCTGTGATGTTTTCCACAATACTGCAGTAGACTGTCACTGCGTAAAATAAATCCCCCAAGCATCTGTGCTCCTTATATTGGTTTTAATTATGGAGAAGAGTCTCTTCAGAACCAGGTTTCCAGATCCACTAGGGATTCTGCCCATGCGGCTGTCAGTGATGGCTCTTATGCCTGTTCCAGTCCCTGGGCGGTACAGACTTCTGGTGTCTGCAGTGCCACTGGCGGGGTGAATGAGTTTACACTTCTGCCATTCTCTTTGTTTTTCTTGTAGCCACCCCAGCACCCATTTTGGGAAGCTGTAGGTACAGTAAGAATGGAGGAGGTGGTTCCTGGCAGATCACTCGGGGCTTAGGGGCTGGTTTGATCTGCTTCTCT